ACACCCACCCATCCATCCATCCATCCATCCACCCACCAACCAACCCATCCATCCATCCATCCACCCACCCATCCACCATCCACCATCCATCCACCCACCCACCCACCCATCCACCCACCCATCCATCCACCACCCAACACACCCATCCATCCATCCATCCACCACCCACCCACCCACCCATCCATCCATCCATCCATCTACCCACCCACCCATCCATCCATCTACCCACCAAATCCACCCATCCATCCATCTCACCCACCACCCACCCATCCATCCATCTACCACCCACCCACCCATCTCATCCATCTACCCCCACCCATATCCCCATCCATCCACCCACCAACCAACCCATCCATCCATCCATCCACCCACACCCACCCATCCATCCATCCACCCACCACCCACCCATCCATCCATCCACCCACCCACCCATCCATCCATCCATCCATCCACCCACAACCCATCCCATCCATCCATCCACCAACCCATCCATCCACATCCACCCCACCACCCACCCATCCATCCACCACCCACCAACCCATCCATCCATCCACCACCCACCCACCCATCCATCCATCTACCACCCACCCACCACCCATCATCCATCCATCCATCTACCACCCACCCACCCATTCAATCCATCTACCCATCCATCCATCTATCATCTACCCACCCACCATCCACCACCATCCATCCACCAACCCCATCCATCCATCCAACCCACCCCATCCATCCATCCATCCACCATCCATCCATCCACCCCACCCCATCCATCCACCAACCAACCCATCCATCCATCCATCCATCCACCCACCCATCCATCCATCCACCACCCACCATCCATCCATCACCCATCCATCCATCCACCACCCACCCATCCACCCATCCATCCATCACCACACCCACCCATCCATCATCACCACCCCCCACCACTCACATCTACCACCACCCACCCACCATCATCCATCATCACCACCAACCACCCAATCCATCCATCCACCAACCACCCACCCATCCATCCATCCATCCACCACCCACCCATCCATCCACAATCCATCCACCAACCAACTCCATCCCCACCACCATCCATCCACCCACCACCCAACCCATCCATCCATCCATCCATCCACCACCCACCCATCCACATCCATCCATCCATCCATCCATCCACCCCACCCACCCATCCCATCCATCCACCAACCAACCCATCTCATCTCACCCCACCCATCCACCATCCATTCATCCACTCACCACCCACCCATCTATCTTCCACCCACCACCCCATCCATCTATCACCATCCATCCATCCATCTATTCATCTACCACCAACCCATCCATCCATCCATCCACCACCCATCCACCCATCCATCCACCAACCACCCATCCATCCATCCACCCACCACCCACCCATCCATCCATCCACACCCACCCATCCATCCATCCACCCATCCACATCCATCCACCCACCCATCCATCCACACCACCCATCCATCCATCCACACCCACACCCCATCTCCATCCACCACCCACCCATCCATCCACCACCCACCCATCCATCCATCCATCCATCCATCTCACCAATCTAACCCATCCATCCACCACCCATCCACCATCCATCCATCCACCACCCACCCATCTCATCCATCCATCTATCCACCACCACCCACCCATCTATCTCATCTCATCTATCCACCCACCCATCCATCCATCCATCCATCCACCACCCACCCACCATCCATCCAACCCACCCACTCCATCCATCCATCTACCACCCACCATCCATTCCATCTACCACCCACCCATCCATCCATCCATCCACCCATCCAACCCATCCATCCCAACCCATCCATCCACCAACCCACCCATCCATCCATCCATCCAACCCCACCAACCCATCCATCCATCCATCCATCCACCAACCATCCATCCACCCACCCATCCATCCATCCACCCCACCCACCAACCATCCATCCATCCATCCACCACCCATCCACACTCCACCACCCAACTCCATCTCATCCATCCACCAATCTAACCCATCTCATCCATCTATCCATCTACTTCATCCATCTACCAACCACCTCATCTCAACAACCAACCCACAACCCACCCCATTCACCACACCAACTAATTAACTCACCAACCACCAATTCCTGACTCCATCCAACCAACTCATCTGCCCAACCACCATCTAACACCACACCTGACAACTCTCCCACCCAATCTGGCTCCACCAACTCCACCATCTACCACTCCACCTGTTTCAACACCCCACCATCTAACCCAACTCACCTATCTACCACCCAACCACACCACACCCATTCATCCATCTATGGTGATATATTGTCCACTAACTAATCATTTCCATCAGCCTTACTCATCATTAGTCAGAGCTCCAGGGACATACTGTATTTACCTGTTCTTTAGAAACTCAACCCAATTTGTTCACTAGAAGGTTAATTGTCTTGTACTATTACTGATAAACTGTCTTGTACCACTAAGGTAACTGTCTTGGTACCAATAAGGTTAAATTGTCTTGTACCAATAAGGCTAACTGTCTTGTACTAATTTCTTACTGATGTTAACTGTCTTGAATTACTATATAACTGTCTTGTACCACATAAGTAACTGTCTTGGTACCACTAGGTTAACTGTCTTTGTACTAAGGTTAACTGTCTTGTACCACCAAGGTTAACCGTCTTGTACCACTAAGGTTAACTGTCTTGTACCACATAAATGTCTTGGTACCACTGGTTAATCGTCTTGTACCACTCAATGTTAACTGTCTTGTACCATTAAGGTTAACTGTCTTGTACCACTAAGCTAAACTGTCTTGTACCATAGCTAAATCGTCTTGATACTTGTACAATGTACACCATAGGTTAAGTAACTGTCTTGTACCATCACTGATGGTTAACTCGTCTTGGTACCACTGGTTAACTGTCTTGTACCACTTGTATATAACTGTCTTGTACTAATTCTTACTGATGGTTAACTGTCTTATACTACTAAGGTTAACTGTCTTGTACCACCATGGTAACCGTCTTGTACCACTTTGGTTAACCGTCTTGTACCACTAAGGTTAACTGTTTCCTGTACCATTAAGGTGAACTGTCTGTACTTTACTATTAACTTGTCTTGTACCAATTTAATATTAGGTCTTAAATTTTGTACTACGTTAATTAACTGTCTTGTAAACACTAAGGTTAACTGTCTTGTACCACCAAGCTTATTAACTGTCTTGTACCACTAAGGTTAACTGTCTTGTACCACTGGCGTTATTAACTGTCTTAAAACTACTAAGTTGAGTTTAACTGTCTCAATTATCAAGGTTAATAACTGTCTTGCAAATTACTACGTTAAGGTTGTCTTGCTCTGACCACTAATTGGTTAAACTGTCTTGTACCACTCAAGTTAAGGTTAACTGTCTTGTATCTACTAAGGTTAATCGTCTTGTACCACTATATAAACTGTCTTGTAAATTAATGGTTGGTTAATCGCCTTGGTAAATTACTGTTCAAGGTTAACTGTCTTGTAACTAATTAAGGTTAACTGTCTTGGTACCACTTTAAGGTTAAACTTGTCTTGTACCACTAATGTTAACTGTCTTGTACCATTCAATTGTCTGTACCACAACGTTAACTGTCTTGTACCACTAACGTTAACTGGTCTTGCACTGTTCGCTGTTAACTGTCTTGTACCATTAAGGTTAACTCGTCTTGTACCACTTCATAAACTGTCTTGTACCACTACGTTAAGGTTAATCTTCGGTACCAGTTACAATGTTTAACTGTCTTGTACCATTGATTCAACTGTCCTGTACCACTAAGGTTAACTGGTCTTGAAATTAATTGATAAATGTCTTCGAACCACTATGTTTAACTGTCTGTACCACTAAGGTTAACTGTCTTGTACCACTATACAATTGTCTGTACCACCATTTCTCAAGGTTAACTGTCTTGAAAATTACTAAGTAAATTGTTGTCCACTAGTAAAGTAATCACCTACCACTAATAACTGTCTTGTACCACCAATTAATTGTACCACTAAGGTTAACTGTCTGTACCACCATACAACTGTCTTGTACCACTAAGGTTAACTCGTCTTGTTCACTATACAATCGTCTTGTACCACTATATAACTGTCTTGTTACCATAATAACTGTCTTGTACCACCAATTTTAACTGTCTTTCTAAATTAATTGTCGGTACCACTAGTTGGTCTTTACTATAACTGTCTTGTACCACTAAGGAACTGTCTGTACCACCAACGTTAACTGTCTTGGTACCACTAAGGTTAACTGTCTTGTACCACTAACGTTAACTGTCTTGTACCACCTAAGTTAACTGTCTTGGTACCACCTGCCACTAAAAAAGATTGGGAGAGGAGGAAAGTTTAAAGACAGACAGACATCATGTCATTAACCTTACCTAGGTCCAGGCAGAAAAAAAAGATAAACAGCAATATAGGTCAACAAAGAGGAGAGTTAAAGGTTAAAACTTACCAAAACTAAACTAAGCTAACCTAAGCTAAGCTAAACAACTAAACTAAACTAACCTAAGCTAAGCTAAACAACTAAACTAAACTAACCTAAGCCTGCTTAAACAACTAAACTAAGCTAACCTAAGCTAAGCTAAACAACGAAAAACTAAGCTAATCGTTGCTAAAACAACTAAACTAAGCTAACCCAAGCTAAGCTTAAACAACCAAACTAAACCAACCCAGCCAAGCTAAACAACCAAACTATGCTAATTCCAAGCCTAAGCCAAACAACGAAAATCTAAGCTAACTCAAGCCAAGTTAAACAACTAAACTAAACTAACCCCAAGCTTGTTTAAACAACTAAACTAAACCAACCTGCTAAGTAAACAACTAAACTAAACCAACCTGCCAAGCCAACCAAACTAAGCTAACCTAGTTGCTAGTAACACAAAAGTCATAGTAACAGAATTCCATATTGAGACCATCATTTATAAACACTAGAGGACCATTCTACTCACCCCTGTACGCTTGTCTGTGAGAGTGATCTTCCCATCCCAGTGACCCTCCAGACTGGCCAGGGTGTCTTTCCCTAACTTTAGCTTGCCTAACATGTTGTTGGCATCACCACCACTCAGAAACGGCTGCAAGTAAAAACATTATTGTTAAAGACAACCCAGGAGACTGGTGTCCTTGGGAAGGTTCATCACATTAAAGGGATAATTATAATGAACAAGACTCATTAGGTCATGATGTATAGTGTACAGTAAGCTCCTAAGTGATATATCACCCATCTTATTAAAAAATATTGCTTCCAATCAAAAATATGGATGGTAAGTGAAATATTGTTAAATTAACCAAGACTTGTAGTAACATCATATTGTAAAGATGTTTTGAGCCAATGAAGAAATTATTTTGTTCTTGTACGTCCACCTGGGGTGGGTAATGCACAACTGCTGCCCTACCCCACTATGTATGAGGCACCAGTGTTACCAGTGTGCTCCGTGAGGAACCCGCTCACCTCACCTTGGTGTGGATGACATAGGCCATACCAGGATGTGCATGCCATGTCTCCTGACTTGCCTCATTCACTTACACCTGTGTGTGTAGATGGTTGTGTACCACCCAGGTGTGGTGTAGATTGTGGGCACTCACCTGGTGTAGGTGTAGGTGGTTGATGCACCACCTGTGTGAGTAAGTGTTGTGTACCTCACCCTGAGGTGTGGCTGAGCACCAACTGTGTGTGTAGGTGGTGGCGTACCCCACCTGTGTGTAGGGCTGACACCACCGTGTGTGTGGTGGATGGTTGTGTACCCCACCTGTGTGTAGTGTAGGTGGTTGTGCACCTCACCTGTGTGTAGTGTAGGTGGTTGTGGCACTCACCTGTGTGTAGGTGGTTGAGCACCACCTGTGTGTAGTGTAGATGGACAGGCACCACCAGTGTGTAGGTGGTTGTACCTCACCTGTGTGTGTAGATGGTTGTGCACCACCCTGTGTGTAGTGTAGATGGTCAGGCACCTCACCTGGGGTGTGTAGGTTTTGGTACCACCCGTGGTGGTTGAGCACCACCCGTAGTGTAGATGGTTGCACCAATTGGTGTGTAGTGTAGATGTCAAAATTCACCAGTGTAGTGTGGTATATTGCACCACCTGTGTGTAGTGTAGGTGGTTGTGCACCAATTGCGTGTAGTGTAGATGTCAGTACCCTGGTCTGTGTGTGGTGTAGGTGGTCAGGCACTGACCTGTGTAGTGTGGTGGCGAGGCACCACTGTGTGTAGTGTAGATGATGCACCAATCTGCAGGCAGTGTGATGGCTGGGTGTACCACCTGTGTGTAGTGGGGTGAGCTGTGCACTGACCTGTGTAGTAGGTGGTTGTGTGATCACCTGTGTGTGTAGTGTAGGTGGCTGAGCACCACCCGGTAGGTGATGGTCAGGTGTACCTCACCTGTGTGTGGTGTGATGGTTGGTGTGCACCACCAGCAGACAGTGTAGGTGGTTGCACCTCACCTGTGTGTGTAGTGTAGGGGTGGTTGTACCACCTGTGTGGTGTAGTGTATGGAGTACTCACCTGTGTGTAGTGTAGATGGTTGTGCACCACCAGTGTGTAGTGTAGTGGTCAGGCACCACCTGTGTGTGTGTGATGGTTGCACCACCTGTGTGTGTAGTGTAGGTGGCTGTACCACCCGTGTGTGTGTGTAGGTGGTTGTGCACTGGCCTGTGTGTAGTGTAGGTGGCTGCACCTCACCTGTGTAGTGTAGATGGTTGGGCACCTCACCCGTGTGTGGTAGTGTAGGTGGTCGTGTACCTCACCCGTGTGTGTGAGAGTGGTTGAATTCTCACCCGTGCAGTAGTGTGGTCAGCACTCAATACGTGTAGTGTAGATGGCTGTGTACCTCACCCGTGTGTAGTAGGTGGTTGAGCCTCACCTGTGTAGTGTAGATGGTCAGTACCTCAATTCAGGTAGTGTAGGTGGTTGTGCACCACCTGTGTAGTGTGGTGTTGTGTACCACCTGTGTGTAGTGTGATGGTCAGGCACCACCTGTGTGTAGTGTAGATGGTCAGGTACTCACCTGTGTGTAGTGGATGGTCAGGTACCACCTGTGTGTGTGGTTGTGTACCTCACCTGTGTGTAGTGTAGATGGTTGTGTACCTCAATCTGTGTGTAGTGATGGTTGTGTACCACCTGTGTGTAGTGTAGATGGTCAGGCACTGCCTGTAGTAGTAGGATGGTTGGTGCACCAATTGCGTGATGGTGGTCAGGTACCTCAATTGTGTAGTGTAGATGGTTGTGCACCCTGACTGTGTGGTGGTGGTTGCATTTCACCCGTGTAGTGTGGTGGGTTGTGCACCACCAGTGTAAAGTGTAGGTGGTTAAAAAATTCACCGTGTGTGGTGTAGGTGGTTGTACCACCCGTGTGGGTGTAGATGGTTGAGCACCACCTGTGTGCAGATGGTTGAGTACCACCGTGTAGTGTGATGGTTGTGGCACCACCTGTGCAGGGTTAAAACCACCTGTGTAGTGGTGGTGGTTGTGCACCGACCTGTGTGTAGTGTAGTGGTTGTGTACCTCACCTGTGTAGTAGATGGTTGCACCAACCGTGTGTGTAGTGGTGGTTGGGGCATCAATCTGTGTGTAGCACAGGTGTTGTGCACCACCTGTGTGCAGTGTAGTGGCTGTGTACCTCACCTGTAGTGTAGATGGTTGTGTACCCCACCTGTGTGTAGTGGTGGTCAGTACCCCACCCTGTGTGTGTAGGTGGTTGAGCACTCACCTGGGTGTAGTGTAGAGAGACAAACCACCTGTGTGTAGTGAGGGGTTGTACCACCTGTGTAGTGGTAGGTGGTTGTGCACCACCTGTGTGTAGTAGGTGGTTGTGCACCACCTGTGTGTGTAGTGGCTACACCACCCAGGTAGTGGTGTGATGGTCAGGTGCACTCAATCTGTAGTGTAGATGGTCAGGCACCACCCGGTGTGTAGTGTAGGTGGCTGCACTTCAATCTGTGTGCAGTGGGTATTGTGTACCACATGTGTGTAGTGTAGATGGTCAGTACCACCTGTGTGTGTAGATGGTTGTGCACCACCTGTGTGTAGTGTAGATGGTTGTGCACCACCTGTGTGTAGTGGTGGTGGTTGTGTACCAATTGTGTGTGCAGATGGTTGTGTACCACCTGTGTGTGTAGTAGATATTGCACTTCACCAGGTAGATGGTTGTACCTCAATTGTGTGTAGTGTAGGTGGTCAGTACCACCAGGTGTAGTGTAGATGCTGCACTAACCAGTGTAGTGTAGAGGTTGTAAATTCCTGACCTGTGTAGTGTAGATGGTTGCACCACCTGTGTGTAGTGCAGATGGCTGTGCACCTCACCTGTGTGCGTAGATGGTTGTGCACTTCAATTGTGTGTAGTGCAGATGGTTGTGTACCCTCAATCTGTGTGTAGTGATGGTTGCACCACCTGTGTGTGTAGTGTAGATGGTTGGGGCACCACCTGTGTAGTGTGTGGTGGTTGTGCACCACCTGTGTGTAGTGTAGATGGTTGTGTACCACCTGTGGTGATGGTCAGGCACCACCTGTGTGTAGTGTAGGAGGTTGCACCATGTGTGTAGTGTAGATGGCTGTGGCACCACTTGTGTGTAGTGATGGTCAGGTACCCTCACCTGTGTGTAGTGGTGGTTGCAAAATCACATGTGCAGGCAGGTGTCAGGCACCACCTGTTTGCAGTGTAGGTGGTCAGGCACCACCTGTGTGTAGTGATGGTTGTGCACTCAATTCAGGCAGTGTAGGTGGTTGTGTACCCACCTGTGTGTAGTGTAGATGGTTGTGTACCTCACCCTGTGTGTAGTGCAGATTGTCAGGCACCACCTGTGTGTAGTGTGATGGTTGTGGCACCACCTGTGTGTGTGTGTAGATGGTTGTGCACCACCTGTGTGTAGTGTGATGGTTGGGTACCCTCACCTGTGTGTAGTGTAGATGGTTGTGCACTCTCACCCAGTGTGTAGGTGGTCAGTGTACCTCACCTGTGTGTAGTGTGCAGATGGTTGTGTACCTCACCTGTGTGTAGATGAAGTCAGTACCTCACCTGTGTGGTAGTAGGTATGCACCCCAACATGTGTGTATGGTTGTGCACCCCTCACATGTGTAGTGTAAGATGCATTGTGTACCTCACCTGTAGTGTAGATGGTTGTGTACTGCCCAGGTAGTAGTGTGGTGGTTGTGCACCACCCGTGTGTAGTATAGGTTGCACCAATCTGTGTGTAGTGTAGGTGGTCAGTGCACCCCACCAGTGTAGTGTAGATGGTTGAGCACCTCACCCTGTGTGTAGGTGGTTGTGTACCCCACCTGTGTGTAGTGGTGGTGGTTGTGCACTGCCACGTGTGTGTAGCAGATGGCTGTGCACCACCTGTGTGCGGTGGCACAGGCATCACCTGTGTGTGTGTAGACGGTTGTGTACCACCTGTGTAGTGTGGTGGTTGAGCACCACCTGTGTGTAGTGTAGATGGTCAGGCAATTCTCACCTGTGTGTAGTGTAGGTGGTCAGGCACCACGTGTGTGTGTAGGTGGTCAGGTACCACCTGTGTGTAGTAGGTGGTCGCACCAATTGTGTGTGTGGTGTAGATACACAGTACCTCACCTGTGTGTGTGTAGATGAATAAATTTCACCTGTGTGTGTGTGTGTGGTTGTGCACCTCACCTGGTGTGTGGGGTAGATGGTTGTACACCTGTGTGTGTAGTGTAGATGGCTGTGTACCCTCACCTGTGTGTAGTGTGTAGGTGGTTGTGCACCTCACCTGTAGTGGGTGGTTGTGCACCACCTGTGTGTGTGTAGGTGGTTGTGTACCTCACATGTGTGAGGTAGGTGGTTAAAATTACCTGTAGTGTAGGCAGTTGAGCACCACCTGGTATGCTGTAGTAGATGGAGCACCACCTGTGTGTAGTGTAGATGGTCAGTACCCCACCTGTGTGTAGGTGGTTGTGCACCACCCGTGTGTAGTGTAGGTGTCAGTAACCCTCACATGTGTGTAGTAGGTGGTTGTGTACCCTCACCCGTGGTGTAGTGTAGATGGTCAGGCACCTCACCTGTGTGTAGTGTGGTGGTTGTGCACCACCTG